GAGAATGGAAATCCAAAAAGAGTGTGGTACTGTTAAGGAGAATGATGTCCTAAAGGAACTCTGCAGAGCTTGGTGGACTCCACCCCTACTCTAGTGATTGGAAACTACAACTCCCAGCAGTACCAAGGAGAGAACTGAAAGAACCCAAGAGCAGAGCTAAGCAGGCATTCTGGGACTTTGGGGGATAAATAGTAAGCGGTTTTCCAACTGTCACACACTGCAGAGGTAACAGTTCTCTCTCTCTCTAGAGCAACTGCTCTCAGACCGTGTGACTGGGGCTTGCAGTGTTGGTTTAGGACTAGAGCTTCTAGTTAGCCCAGCTGGTAAAGTATTCCAGCTACTTTGTATCCCACTCTCTTTCCCTGGGTTGGTTCCTTTTCCTTTCCCCTCTTTTAAAATAAATCCATTACCCTTTTTGTGTGTGTCTGCAGAAAATTACATTTTGAGTGTGCGGGTGAGGGCCCACAGACAGGTAGCCCAAGTCCACTCTGGACTACCCTGTAACAGTATCACAATATCCCCAATCATGAGTATTCCACTGGGCCCACAGGCCTCCAAACATGGATGGGGTCCAGGAGTGAGTCCACTCAGGAACATGAAACACACTTCAGAAATAGCACCTGACCAGATGGGGCCTCTTGTACCTCAGGAGACAAGCAACTTGCCTCTGAACAGCAACACGTTAAAACCAAGTGGGGGGAGGCCCTCTCTGGTGGCGCAGTGGGTTAAAGCACTGCACTAAGAAGCTTACGCCAACTCTTCATGAGTTCGATCCCTGCCTGCCCCGGAGGAGATCCACATGGCATGGCAGACCTCTCCTGACCTGCCTGCTGCTCCCCTCAGCAGTGTACTTCGTCAATCTGCCTGTTCTGCTCCCCACTCTGTTCCTGGTGAATCCTCTCACCCTCCACATCTCTGGCCTGTACCCCAGTTCTGTATGAATAGATAAATCTTTAAAAAATAAATAAATAAATAAATAAAATAAAATAAAAAACTAAGTGGGGGGAAAGGGGTCCTCCCTGGTGGTGCAAGGGATTAAAGTGCAGTACTATGAAGCTATCCGCAGCCACTGCAGCAAAAGTTCGATCCCCGGCCAGGGAGGTGACCCACATGGCGTGGCAGACCTCTCCTGACCCAACCGCTGATCCCATCAGCAGTGTATTTCAGTCAGTCTGCCTGTTCTGCTCCCCACTCTTTCTCTCACTACCCCCCTACACACACACACACACACACACACACACACACGTATGGCCTGTACCCCAGTTCTTGCATGCATACATCTTTAAAAAATAAAATAAAGCTAGGGTTTTACCCCTTACGGGGTCACACCAATTCACAGATCCACAGATCCTCAAGTTTATGATGAACTTACATTTCCCAATAGATGTGCACTTTCAAAAATGATCTATTACAGGAACAAGTTGTATCTCTTGTCTACTGTTTCTGAAGTACCCAACTAATACATGTTCTTATTATGATACAGTCTAGGAAAGTTTTGTATATATCTGCTGAAAAGTCAACTTTATATTAAAAAATAAATAAATAAATAAAAAGAATACTGGATTATACTGGATTAGTAGTTAGAAGACAAACTAGTCTTGGGTTAAGTACTCAGAAGCCACATGACTCTAAGGTAGCCATTGAGCCTACTTGAGCTTCAGTTCTTTATACTTAACATGTTATTTCCCAGGCTTATTGTAAAGATCAATTTAAGTAAAATAATGAAATTGAATGAGTTTCATAAATTGCAAAGGATTTAATACAAACATAAGGACTGATTTGCATTTTCATATAACCAGTTTACATTATTACAACAATCTGAACACTAAGAGCTATTTCCTTTCCTCGTCTTCCTTGTCTGGTGAGGTAGACACATGAATGATACAGTTAACTCTAAATTACCCAGGGACACTGTGGTTCTAGTCATCATGCCATTTATTAGTTTGCCTCAGGATGCCACAAGTATAGAAAACTGAAAATGAGTGTGCTTTGTCTCAATTACCTTGAATAAAAGCTCTGGTAAGAGTTTTGGCAAAAGGAAGAACTACAATGGGCCTCACTTAATGCATGGATAGTCACTCCCATCATGGTCAGGGAGACCGTGGTCAAGTCAGACAGATTGGGACTAATCCAGACAAGGTATGAGCATTTTCTCAGTGAACAAAAAAGTATACTGCCCTATATATTTACAAAAGGAATTCATTTATTCAACAAATACTGGTAGAACACCCAATGTGCCAGAGCTCACCACAAGCCTGAAAACCCCACTCTTTTCCTGCCCTGCCTTACACTATTACACAGAGCCCTTTGGCAAAACTCACCACCTGATTCTTAGAAGCTATTCACCTCCTTGTTATCATGAGATGCTTGCCAGGCTTATTCCAACCCAAGGGTCAGCAAACTCCAGCTCCCAGTGAAACCCTGTCTGCTGCCGTTTTTGTAAATAAAGTTTTATTGGAACACAGCCAGGCCATGTAGCTGCTACAACACCAGAAGCCAGTAACTTTGATACAAACAGCATGACCAGAAACCTAAAATATCACCTAACCCTTTACAGAAAAAGTTTGTTGACCCCTGCACTACGTAATATGACTAAATCAAAATTCATCTCCCTTATAAGTTTCTGCTGAGAAGCTGGTTACAAAAATAAGCTCCTTGAAAGCAGAGAAACTTTCTGTAACTTCATCTTGTCACACAGAACTCTAGAGAGGGATAGAGTCAAGGTCTCAGACACAGAAAATTAAACATGTCCTTCCTTACAGTTTGTTTTCAACAGATACCTTGGAAGCACCTTGGAATTCCATGGAAGACAGCATAAAACCACTGGTGTTCAGTTACTCTGGCTTCTAATTCCTCAGAGTTCTTACATCTAAGACTTCCAAGGCTTCATTTTTGGCCTCTATCCCTTTGCATATTTATTTCCTGATCTGATGTGGAATTAGAGTTAAATAGGAGCTGTGTGCTTGAATTCCACGTGGCTGACTGAGCAGGAAACTCCAGGGCAGGTTTTTTGGCATGCCAAATTCATGTTAGCCTCAGCTATGCTAATTTCTAAAGCTGTTTGCTTTGCTCAAATAAGTCTTAGAGGGGAATTTGCATTTGGATGCACACCTTTTTATGCACAAATTATGTGCATGATAACTCTAGGGAAGAAGAAGGACTGAAAAAAGAAAAAGAGGCATGATGTTCACTCAATGGCTTTCCTGTGACAGATAGTACACTAGGTGTTTCCTATACATTTTCTCATCTCATGGCCACAACAATCCCATGAAGTCGAACTGTGATCCCCATCTGACCGATAGGGAAATGAGGAGAAGAGGAGGTATGTCATTTGTCCATTCACAGAGCTGGTAAGTGACACAGCTGAGATTTGAACCCTGTCCATCAGACACTTAGCCCCCCTGGCTGTTTGATACTCTCATGGTCATCCACACTTACTTCACAGGACAAACAAACACAAACCCAATGCTTACAAAAGTAGTAACCATTCTTCTCTCTAGCTGGCCTATGCAAAATGTGTCCTGGGTACCTGGGAGATAAATTTGAGCTCCTCTGTATCGTAAAACAATCAACGAAAGGAAGACGGGGCACAAGAAAGGCAAAGTTTGTATGATACACAAACACAATTACAAATGATTTTGACAGGAAATGGATTTTAACAACATATCTGAGGACCTCAATATGAAAGGACACTTTTACTGCTAAAATTTAGTGGGGTAAACAAGAGATTATACCCATGGCAAAAAGAAAAATGTTAGTAATACTCAGAATACAATGTAAACAATATCATAAAATAAGACCAGAATTTACATCTACAAATATCTTCACTGTGTATGAAAAGTACCTATTTTCCTTAAAAAATACACCCATTACGGCTCTCCCTGGTGGTACAACGGGTTAACGCACCACATTATGAAGTTCTCCGAAGCTACTGCAGCATGAATTCAATCCCCAGCCAGGGAGTTGACCCACATGGCGGGGCAGACCTCTCCGGACCTGCCCACTGCTCCCCTCAGCAGGGCACTTCATGGATCTGCCTGTTCTGCTCCCCGCTCTGTCTCTGGTGAACCCTCTCACCCACCAAACCTCTGGCCTATACCTCAGTTCTGTAAGCATAGAGAAATTTAAAAATCAAAATGTTTAAAATATATATATATCCATTAATCTTAGTAGGATATAAGTACTATTATCAATATTGAGTACTTATCATTGGTCAATTCAACATACAGAAAAATATCCAGCTTAGCAATTAAGCATTCTAGCATAATTCCAAAAGTTTATACAAAGTCAGATACAGTATTATTACAGCCCCCCCAAATCCCCCCCACCGTGTGAAACAAATCTACAGCGTAGCTTGCAATGTCACATAATGCCAGTCCATGGCCAGCCAACTCTACTACTGCCATCTAATTTTCTGGAAATAGAAAAACTGATTACCTTTTCACACAATGACATTCAAATCTCCACTTTTTTTTTTAAGCTCGCAAAGAAAGCTACAGAGGAATAAGAAGGAACTTTGGCGAAGACGCATAATCTAGAGTGTTTCTTCAGTGAATTTTACAAAGACACATTGAGTAATGTGTCTGTGCATCCGATACAAAACTGACCCTTCCTTCAGAAAACCCACAGAGGAGACCTAGTCTCCTCTATTCCACTGCCCGCCTCTACAATGGTTGCTTTTTCTCTCACTAGCCAGTTGGTATATCTCTTATTGTTTTAAAGTATTTCACTCTTTTATATTTTAAACAGATGATTTCAGGGAAGGAAAATAACTTTTTTTTTTTGGACAGTGGTAGGAAAGGTTTACTGTCAGTTATAAGTTTACAGTTTAAGTAGTAGTTGGGAGGATTTTCTTAATATAGTAATATTCTAAATAAAACATGCACTAACATTTTGTACCTAAGTTTCTAAATCTTTTCCATCATTAACTTGAATATTTAATAATCATTCACAGGACAATTTTCTATAAATTATTATTGGAAACCCCAACAGTGACTTACCTGCTGGTGGCTTTATGAAAGGTGGCGGAATTAAAGGTACAATAATGGGCACATTGCCATGCTCCTTTGACCCTGCAGATGAGTCACTGAGTCCATTTCCTGTGGCAAGCCCTGAATAGCCTGTGCTTATATTGTATGGTGAAATAACACTGTCCTCTGGTAATTTTGGTTTTGGCAAAGAATTTTCTGTAAAAGAAAAAAATCATATTGAATACCCTTTCTCAAGTAAAATGGCCACATACCAAAATAAAAATTTTCCTTACAAATCTTTAAACACTTTACCAGAACTTCACAGACCATCCCGGACCTTTTTCAGTCTTGTTACCATAAATCACCAAAGGGTTCCTTAATAATTTTCTCCTCTATGATAGCTAGCATCCCAATTGTATCATACTGATAATTTTTAGCACTGCAAAAGCCTACAGAAAATTGAGAGGCAATTAACCTTTTCCACATACAAAGTGATATATTAGTAAGCCTCATTCTCTGGCTACCTGGGAAAACCTAAAAAGTGCCCCCAGCATTTTAACTAGGTCCCAGTTTACAGGAATGTAAGTAATAACATAATCAAAGGAGCCATAATCAAATGAGGAAGAAAAAAAAAACTGTCATAGGGTATACCCATTCAATCCATGAATGCCCATTAAAAATTAACAAAAAATGGACCCTCCCTGGTGGCGCAGCGGGTTAAAGCACAGCACTAAGAAGCTTAAGCCACTCTCGCATGAGTTCGATTCCCGCCTGCCCCAACTGGGCAGACCTCTCCTGACCCGCCCTCTGCTCCTCTCAGCAGTGTACTTCCTCGATCTGCCTGTTCTGCTCCCCACTCTGT